ACTTTGTAACTGGTGGTATGATGAGTCGAATGAGATAAAACATTTGCCTTTATCACTTACGTAGAAAAACTAGATAGGTTTACAAAATCGACCAATATGTGGTGCACTCGACGCGATTCGAAACGTCACCATCAGTAGGGTTTGGGGTCCAGAGTCGATTTAAGAACTTTCGTATATTCAGTTTTTTATGCTGAATCTGGAAAAATTATGTTCAGAAGCAAAAAAGAAGAATGAAGTAGAAAATTTTGCACATTTCGCGAAAGAACGCGTTTTTCTCGAAAACGACACCTTTCGAGTATTTCGTATTTTTCGACCAGAAGGAAGCATTTGCTAATGCTAAAAAGTAGTTTTTCGTGATCAGCAGCTCAAACTCTATCCATTGATGTAAAGAAAACACGAAAAAAAAAATTTACTGAAAATTCGCATTGCCGGCACATTACATATTCGGAATCAGCGCGACGAGTTACGTTGTACGGCACAAAGATCTTGTTGGGATCCTCTCGATTTTTTGTATCTTGAAGATTCTTTCTATTACATTTCCATATACTTTGTACAAAAAAGTTAGTAGCTAACAGAACTCTTTTACTGGCACGCCCATTCGTGATTTCCTTTCTTTAAGGGTCTTAAGACCTCGTACAACTCTGAATGACCTTACATCAAAAAGTTACAGGCGTTTTCCTAGAAGTCCTAAAACTGAGCGTTATACAGCGTTTTCTCTACATGGAAGTTATACCTAAAGTGTTTCTCAAGATTTTTAATAGCAGTTTGTCGTAGAGAGTTCATTCTTTTTTTGTTTAAAAGAGGAAACACATACGAAAGGTCTGTTTTCTGGCAACTTCATGTAAATATGAAAAAATGTGAATCTATGACGTTTTACAGGAGAACAGTAAACAATACGCTGAATCCAGTTTTTATTAATAACACTGCTAAAATAGAAGTTGATACACACAAGCAGTTTGGCAGAAACACTTCAGCACTTTTTTCACTTGAGCCATCCTAAACACAGTTAAAAAAATTAAGTTGAAAGTGATGAAAAATCTGTTAATAGAAGTATATCGTCCCTCTATAAAAATGTGGTATTTTTTCGATACTTCGCGCACACGATTGTAGGGAGGAAAAAAATCTTCGATAATAAAAATGTTGAGGAAATTTTCTTTCTTACAATGTTTTCACTCTAAAAAACTACAAAAATTAACCCAAATCTGTTGTATAATACATACGATTTATGGATCATGACGAAACGAATTGATTGATATATAGTATGTGTGGAGTTGCTAAAAGAAGTGTAATCACGCAGATCCTTCAATTTTATTTTCCATTAAACGTCGATGAGTTTTCACTATGCTCACTTTGTATCCGGTATTGAGTTGTGTAGCAAAATTCATACTTTTCCGACTATGGATCATTCCCCATGGATGCGCTTCCAAGAATTTTCTCAAAAGTGGAACAGATTTTATAGATGATTCTTTGTCGGCATAAATAGTTGATATATGTGTCATACTCATACATATAAGAGAGAGTGGAATGACATGCATAGCCAACAAATATTTTTAGATGCCTTTTTTTATTCATCATACTTATCTATATCCTTAAGAAAGAATAACAATAAACTTTCAATTGAAAACGAGACTGTTCCGATATAACGTTACCACTTCTTTTGCGACTTTTGGACACCTCTACATCCAATTGACGTCATCGGAAAATTTGTCAGTATCCTTTCACCAGCGTAAACATTTTTTTCTATAAAGATGATGAGCAAAACTCTTCTCTGGACTAACGTCTGGCATGCCTTCACTATCATGCTTTCAAAAAAGTTTACCATCGATAACATCTTTAGTCATCTAGGAGTCAGCTCCCTTTTTCTTCACCAATGTCAGACTTAGCCATCTTTTGGCTATCTCTCTTCTACACATGAGCGGGACCAGAATCAAGACCAACTTTTTTAAAAGTTGGTATCAGCAAATTAAATTTTTGTTGTACATTCTAGTATAGAAAGTTTCTTTTCAAGTTTAAGCTGAGCATAATTTTTCAGCAGACCCACTGGATCTGAGCAGGAACCGAAAAGAAGCGGTTCCACTCATGTGTAACCCCTTATTCTTTCTTAGTGATGAAGACGTTTGGAACAGCCCCCCATACATGACTATTCATGTTGAGAATAAAAATCCAAAGAAATAGAAAGAGAGATCAGAAGAAGAAAAAAACAGATTTTCTCATCAATTATTTTTAATTGTATTTATTCTTGTTATGTCTACATAAAATAGAACAAATCAACGGAACCATAGTCAACACAAGTATTTTATACGTTTTTTCATTTATCATACCAACAATATAACTGTAACTCTTCCATGAGAGAGTAACCATCTACGAAAAGCTCAATCATCATGAAACTGATAATCGTTTGTTCATTGTTTATAATATTAGCTCTACTTAATTTATCGACAGCAAGAACAATTCGAGAGATAAATAACGATGATAATGACGATAGTGAATTTTTGGATGCTGCTGATGAACCTCAAGGTAATCTTTATAGTCGTAGTCTCAGTGATACTGCGTTTCAAATACATTCCAAATCGCCAACAATTAAACGGCGAACGATTGAGGATAATGATACGGTGCCATTCATCAAAAATATTCGAACTTGGGGTAGTAGCTGGGGACATTTAGCAGAAAACGATGAACAAAATCGAGCATGGAGTAAAACAAAAACGGTGGTTCAGATAATTCGAAATTTTTTAAGAGCAAAATACTGATTTTTTGCCATTTTGGAACTTGAATTTTGAAAATAATCGTGATGTTTTGTTACTGTTAGTTTAAATCAAGCAGGAAGTCAACGATTTTTGACTTCCTTCCTCTCCCGTTTTCTACACATCACTTCTAATTAACGTTTGGTTTATTTAGAGTAAAAAATTCAAAATTTTCAAATGGTGTACCTGAAACAAGCTCAAATGGATGCTCGAAAAAGTAATTTCGACGAGAATAACTAAAAATCTTAAAGTTTCGCGTTGGTGAATTACCGTGTCTTATCGAGACACGATAGAGGACCGTAGTAAAATGATACCCTGTTCGGGCGATTTTCGAAGTATCTGCATAACTTTTATTGAACGACGTAAAAAAATTGTTTTTCTATAAAGTTCTGATCTAATATTCTCACTAAAGTTATCAAAACTAAGACTGTCGCGTCATACAGCATGAGCATTAATCTGTATTTAGAGATGTTTCAAGATTGCCAGACTGAACAGACGGTTACAACAAAACAAATCTGTGCGGCACACTGTGATAGCTAACAATCATAAACTTGTGCAAGTTTGTATAAGAACTCTAGGTCACATTAAAGATCTCTTTTACCAAGTCGCTTGAAATCGCGAAGGGAAATCTAGGATTTTAGAGCCCTACCTACCACATCTAAAAAGTCTAAGCGCACTGGAAAAAAAAATTAGAAATTATTTCGTCTGAATATCCAGGAGAGGGAGAGAAGGACTAAAAAACCATCACATTTTCCTGGACGTTCTTTATGAATGATCGCCAATGAATTGATGGTAAATGAAGATGAAGATAGTGTTTATCGTCGTCATCTTAGTAATGCTGTACTTGAACAAATGTTTTCAACAATTCGAGAGCGAAAAGCAAAACCAAGTTTCGATGACGATGTTATTGATGATCTTAATGAATTTATGCTTGATGAAGAAAATGCCCATGAAATGATTGATCTTTTATTTGAAGGAATATCTGAAGTATCTTTTAATCCACAAGTTCAAACCGTTGAATTAGTTGATGTTCTAAAATTAAATGACCAACCAATACTAAATGCTATTCAAAAATACTGTTCAGAGATTATAGTTACAATGGGTGATTTGCAGCAAAAACAAAAAAGTGCTAAATGTCGTCCAAAACTAGCTGCTGGTATAAAACAAAAGATAAAAGAATTGAAACAACGTGATCCACGTCCATATAAATATGAAGGTGATGAGAATGACTTTAACTGGTGGTTTGGAAAGTTATTTCCAGTTAATACATGATATAATCGTGTGAATAACCAGCAACATAACCACGCACAATTTATAGCCAAACAATTCATTTAATAAAGTGGAAATTTGACAAAAGCAAAAATATATTTCGTAGTCTTGACGCACATATCCAATCTTCAACCACAATGATGTTGATTTCGAATATGATAGTACAGAAGGAAAAAAAATGTTTCATCATACAATAACGTCAGACAATAAAGAAGTTCTTGAAAAATCGGTTGTAAAATTACTAAATATAAAGAATAGTTTCGATGCAAACTTCGTTTTCTTAACTTCATATAGCTAACAAATCGTCAGGAATTCATTGCAAGCGGTTTTAACAACTAACAGAAAAAGCAATTTCTGGAGTAGACATTTTTAGAAGGCTATGCTGGTTAATTGAATATGCTGGAAACCACTTGCAATGAATTCCTGACGCATTTTTAGCTATATGAAGTCAAAAAAACGAAGTTTGCATTGAAACTTTTCCTCAAAACGAGAAATCAGGCACCCGATTGCGTGCAAAATTAGAAGGGTCCAAAGAAAGAGTTGTATCTCAGGAAGGAAAGAAAAGTTCCTTAAAAGGATGCTTAACTTTTATCCTGGCCATCTGACGACGATGACCATGCAAAAATATTGGCGCTATCTGCTTTTAGAAATGACTTGATTCATTTTGCGTGAGAAGAAGTGGGATTTTGACCTATTGAAAAAAAACTCTAAAATTTTATCCCTTCGCAAAAGAGCAAAGCTATTGAAAGTACATTTTCTTACGCACTTTGTAACGTAGATTAAGAGAAAAAATACTTTCAAAACTCTGTCGCTTAAACTCTCGAGAATATGAATATAATAAAGAATTTTATCGCACTATTTTGTTCCAAACAGTTTTCCCACTTTTACTTGAATATAACGGGTGTTCCAAAATAAATCAGTCACTTAGTATTTTGCTCATATCTTAATTGGATTTTATCCCCTAAACTTTGTTGTTTTCTTAAAAGATATGTCGTAAAATTCTCTACAAAAAATATATTAAACATTTTTCTATATATCGTAAAGAGAAAAGAATATCAAAGAAATACTGCGAAGCTTCGATCTCGATTACTTTGCAACTCGAAAAACAATTTTTTCAATTTTAGTCCTTCATACTTTGTGAAACAAAAAACAAGAAGATGGCCATTTGATAGCCCTTGAAAAGCT